TACTCAGGAGGCTGAGGCAGGAGAATCCTTTGAACCTGGGAGGTAGAGGCTGAAGTGAGCCAAGATCACGCCACTGCACTCCAGCCTGGGCGACAGAGTAAGACTCTGTCTCAAAGAAAAAAAAAAAAATCGATCAGCTCTCTACCACAACTGCAAACACTGAGCTATAACCCACACAATTCAAATGATGAAGCTGGGATCCTATTGCTGATATAATCAAAATAACTGAGGGCCAGGTTCAGGCTTGTGCCTAACCCCAACACTCTGAGTGGCTTAGGTGGGAAATCACTTAAGACCAAGAGTTCAAGACCAGCCTAGTGAACACGGTGAGACTTCCATCTCTACAAAAATTAAAAAACTAGCTGGATGTGGTGCCTGAAGTCCTAGCTACTAGGGAGGCTGAGGCGAGAAGGTGAGAGGATTATCTGAGCCCAGCAGGTCAATGTTACAGTGAGCTACGATCGCACCACTGCATTCTAGCTTGGTGACAGAGTGAGACCTTGTCTCAAAAAAATACATAAAAATTTAAAAGCTACTAAAAGCTCATTTAAAAAACAAGTATTCTGAAAGAAATATGGACCATTCTCCGAAGAATCTATAACTTGTAGGTAACTTTCACCCTAACATAAATGGTATCCTAAAAATGCAAATGACTTTAAGAAGTCTGTATTTAGCTATGTGTATTAGCAATCTTACCTTTTATTTTGTAGTCACGGAGAGAAAAAAAAATGATCACTCGATAAAAAGCTATCTATTTAGTATTGTAAGGATCTAAGCTGCTCTAAAGACTATGAATTTACGTGAAATTTGGAGTTTTTGAACTTCTTTATTTTACTTTTTAAACATTTAATTTGTTAATTAAAAAAAAATGGAGAAAAAAAATTTCACTACATCACTTAGACTAGTCTCAATCTCCTGGCCTCAAGTGATCCACCTGCCTTAGCTTCCCAAAGTGCTGGGATTACAGGCGTGAGTCATTGTGCCTGGCCTGCAGTTTTCAATACTTCTATAAAGAAATTACATCTAAGAATTCGGCCCGGTTATGCCTGCCACCCTTCCCTGTCCAAGATTCCCTTTCCAAAAAGCATTCTATTTCTTGGTGTAACATAGGCTAACCATATTAGATAGACGCAGAATTAAACTATGACGCAAAAGCTCAGTAAAGATTCCAAAGAAAAATATATAGGAAGAAAATATATTTGCTGACAGCTAAACAATGAATCTTGGAAACTCATACCCACTGGCTTTCTTCTGCTAGGTTGTCTGCCGAGACTTGGGTCTGGAGGCTGAAGTGAAGGTCCTTTCAGAAATGCATTCTGGATGCCATCCTTAGTTCCGTGCAAGAAATGGGCTAAAATCCCATATAAAAGAGGTCTACAGCAGGAAGAAAATAAAACCAAAAGCTAGTAAATTTGCATAAACAGGAAAACCTTAAAACAGTTATTCTTTAAAAGGCAACCTCTGACACCAAAATGACCAAGTGATTCATCAGACTTTAAAAAGCTGGATGATTATTATCCAAATTGCAAATGGTTTGTACTTTCAAAGAGTACCATTTAATTTAATGACAATTTTAAAACCCAGAGAAAACATGTTAACAACTTACACCTCATCTGCACTGAAATATCACTGCTATCAATCCACAGGAATTTATCTTTTAAACTCCAAAGTCCAGTATAATATTTCCCAATACCTAATACACAACCCTGTCTAATACACAACAGGTATTAACACCTCTTGATTAATAAATCCTTGCCCTGAGAAAGTCTTAGGTCCTGAGAGCCAGGCGGCCTGGGTTCAAATCTTGGCTTTGCCATTTGCTAGCTGTGGGACTCTGTATAAGAACCTCTCCAGCCTCATAAATGTTTCTTCCTTTACAAATTAGGATAAGCACCATCCCTCCCTTACAGGGTTGTTATGCACTAAATGAATTAATAAATGTCAAGTGTTTTTTTTTTACTGTGCCTGGCACATATGACATGGTATATAAATGTTAGCTCCTATGTAGCTAACATTTATTTATATTAATATTTATGTGACTTAGTATTTTAAAACCTTCTTTATAGTTTACGGAACACTTAACTCATTTCCTCTGATCCTCATCGTGTAATGTCAAAATCATCAATTGTAATTTACAAAAAAACCACAGCCAGGAGATTTGCTAGAGATTCCCTCAGACTGTAAACAAAGTTTACACTTGAACCCCAAATCCCATATTCTTTTCCTCACAATGTGCTGCCTGGGGATTCATATGAGTACTCTTGTATAATGGAAAGCTGTTCTGCTGACAATAAAGAGTGGTACAACAGAAATGTTTTCCTTTGTTTCCGGTCTCATATTTGAAAATACAATTAAAAGGATTTAATCATTTTAATTTTTAATTTTTGTGGGTACATAGTAGGTGCATATATTTGTGAGGAGGATTTATTTTTTGAGATAGGTATCTATTTATTAGCCGGTATAATGGTTTAAAGTGCGACACTCCCTTCCAAAGATGGAATCTCATTGCCCTCCCTTTGAGTGTGAGCTGAACTCACTTCTAACTGGCAGAAGGCTGACCTCAGAGGCTGCGTGGTAATGGCACTGTGGCTTCCTCCTTGCTTTCTCTTGGACTGCTGCCTTTAGGAGAAGTGAGATGCCTCAGGACACTTCAGTAGCCCTGGAAAGGTACATGTGGCAAGGAATTGAGGCCGCCTGTCAATATCCTTATGAGTTTGGAAGCAGATATTCAGCTGCATTCAAGGGTTCAGGCTTTAGACTACAACGCTGGCTGGCATCTTGACTACAACCTCACAGGGGACCCTGAGGTAGACTCACGTGACTAAGCCAATCCCAAATCCCCAAATATCCCACAAATAACCTACGTTGTTTTAAGCCACCAAATTCTGGAATAATATCATGCCAATTTTTCCATGCCACAAGGAAATCAGAAAAGTAAGTTTCTTTATTTAACAAGATGCCTCAACTCCTATGAAAGCATCACCTAGTGATATAAAACAGGTCTCTTTATTTACTTTACACTAACCTTCCACAACGTGTTCATTGGTTCAAGATGATTTTTAGATGTTAAAAATTTTATTTTTCAAATTAATATTCAAGACAATTTACTTGTGATAAAAATTTTGGGTTAGACATGGAGGCTCAAGCCTGTAATCCCAGCAGTTTGTGGGTACTGAAGTGGGAGAACTGCTTGAGGCCAGGAGTTTGAGACAGCCTGGACAACACGAGTCCCCTAGCTCTACAACAATGTTTAGAAAATTAGCCACACAAGGTAATAAGCACCTGTGGTCTCACCTACTTGGGAGGCTGAGGTGGGAGGATGGCTTGAGCCCAGGAGGGAAAGGCAACTTGCAATTTCATGGATTGAGGCTTATTTTTAAAAATAAGTTTAAAAAAGATAACTTAAAGAAAAGTGCAGCCTTGTAATACCTTGCCTGTAATTCTGACATGCAAAATTCTGAAAACTGGATTATCTTCCTATATCTGGCAAAAAATCATCAGATGACATGGCTTGACCTAACAAGACTATTGCAGACTTTATCTTAGTTTATCTGAAAATATTAATGTGCCAGGCACGATGGCTCACGCCTGTAATCCCAGCACTTTGGGAGGCCGAGGTGGGCAGACCACCTGAGATTAGGAGTTCGAGACCAGCCCGACCAACAAGGAGAAGCCCCATCTCTACTAAAAATACATAACTAGCTGGGCATAGGGGCACACACCTGCAATCCCAGCTACTAGGGAGGCTGAGGCAGGAGAATTGCTTGAACCCGGAAGGCAGAGGTTGCAGCGAGCCAAGATCGTGCCACTGCACTCCAGCCTGGACAACAAGAGCAAAACTCTGTCTCAAAAAACCAAAAAAGAAAAAATTAGTCTGATTGTGGAACACTGTCTTATGACTCCCTGGCACCCTGGCGCATATATGTATTATTTGATATAGGTACCATATTAATTTCTTTTTTTTTAAGAAATGAAGTCTCGGCCAAGCACGGTGAATCCCAGCACTTTGGGAGGCTGAGGCAGGCGGATCACGAGGTCAGGAGATTGAGACCATCCTGACTAACACGGTGAAACCCCATCTCTACTAAAAATAAAAAATTTCAGCTGTAGGAGCGAAAAAAACACCAAAACAAAATTAGCTGGGTGTGGTGGCACATGCCTGCAGTCCCAGCTACTCGGGAAGCTGAGGCAGGAGAATTGTTTGAACCCAGGAGGCAGAAATTGCAGTGAGTTGAGATTGTGCCATTGCGCCCCAGCCTGGGCATGGAGTACGACTCCGTCGCATTAAAAAAAAAAAAGGAATTGAAGTGTTGCTGTGTGGCTCAGGCTGGTGTACAGCAGCAAGATCATGGCTCACTGCAGCCTCGAACTCCTGGATTTAAGCAATCTTCTTGCCTCATCCACCTAACTAGCTAGGACTGCAGGAGTGTCATTATACCTAACTAACCATATTACTTTTTAAAACCTGAAAACTTTTGAATTTTCAAAACATATATCTGGCTTCAATGGTTTTAGATACAGCACTGTAAATCTACAAGTAAAAAGTATAAGGCCATACCCACAATCCCATGACTTTGGGAGGCCAAGGCGGGTAGATCATGAGGTCAAGAGATTGAGACCACCCTGGCCAACATGGTGAAATCCTGTCTCTACTAAAAATACAAAAATCAGCTAGGTGTGGTGG